AGCAAGGATTCCCACATGACGAAAATAACCCTGGAAAAGGGGAACAAGAGGGACAAAGGACAAACACAAATCTCCAAACACAGCTAGGCGACTGGTGCGCCTGAAAAAACCCGCCTGGTCCGGGTATCGAACCTGGGACCTCTCCATTACAGGTGGAGCGCTCTACCAACTGAGCTAACCAGGTGTTAGACGTCAGTAGAGCAAACGGGTTTTATCAGCCGACACCAGTCTAACACCAACAAGGGTGAAGCTTGCAATTTAAAGTTGTGATTTTAATGCAATTAAATGCAAAGGTGCAAGCGAGCTGGACAAGAATGACGAAAATAACCCTGGAGAAGGGAACAAGAGGGACAAAGGACAAACACAAATCTGCAAACACAGCTAGGCGACATGCACAGAAGGCAGTGAGAGCAGTCACTTAATGTCTCTGTACTTTTAGTTTCTCCACTTTGTCGCATCGAGCTTAATGCAAAGATTGTACAGGTATATGACCCCGGTCTGGCTACATGAAGAGCTCGTTCCGTTTTCTCTGCCCTTTGTGCCCTGGCTTTAAACATCGGATAATGGAACATCCGCTGCATCGCTAAATATCAGACTAAGGAATGTCAGTTGCCATCATTAAAAATTAATAAAATACAATGTGGCCAAGCACGAGTGTTCTCAATCGAAATGAATTTACCCGCTGCATTTGAACTCACAAATAAGCAGTATAGTCTTTGCAGCGAAGCCGACCTGCGGAAACTGTGTTTGGCCGTTCAGAGAACGTGGGAGTGATTTCGATCACTTCTTGAGAAGATACAAGAAAAGGGTGAAATCGCATCAAGCCAATTGAAAGTTCATATGATCGGCAGAAATAATAAAAAAATTGAACGAAATAATAAATGGTCTTTTTGGATAAAGTGGGTTCAAAAGATCAATTAATTTCATTTTCGACGATATTTCAAATTTTATATAAAAATTCAGTGAAACTAAAATAGACTAAACTTATGCCCGTCGATATTCCATGTATAGGGCTACACCCACATAGTATTTGGTAAGTGACAAATATAATAACTCATGAGTTACAAGGCTCTGAAGTTGTCACCGCCTTGTCACGTGGGAGCGATTTCAATTACTTCTATACCCGTTTTCACCTCAAGAAGCATAGTAAAAAAAGTCCGGCTTCTGGCGGAGCATTGCTAATTCCCCCTTTTATGCAGAGAATTAAGATATGGGAAGGTGATTTGTAGATTAGTTTTATGTTATCTTATCAAGACGCACACGTTCCAAACGCCAAAAGCATCGCTTTTTCCTCCGACAACCAAATCTCGCAAGGACAACCTCGTGCCGCGTATGAACAATGCGCGAAACTTGCTTTTTTCTTGAGGTGAAAACGGGTATAGAGAAGATACAACAAAAAAAGGGGGAAATCAAATCAAGCCAATTGAAAGTTCATATGATCGGCAGCAATAATAAAAAAAAAAATTGAACGAAATAAAAAATGGCTTTTTTCGATAAAGTGGGTTCAAAATATTGGTTGAGTTCATTTTCGACGATATTTCAAATTTTATATAAAAAAATCAGTGAAAATAAAATAAAATAAATTTATGCCCGTCGATAGCTCATGTATAGGGCTCAGACTTGTACACGTTACTGAAAAAAAGTAACTGATTACAATTACAATTACTACAGTCAAAAAAGTAACCGATTACCGTTACTGATTACTGCCTCCCAGAAGTAATTGAACAATTACTGCAAAGTAATTGATTACTTTTCAAGTTACTTTCACGTTACTTCTTATTGCGATGACAGAAATACACAAATACACAGTAAAATATTGCGTACACAATTTTGTTTGGTTATTGTTCCCTTTTTTTGTTTTCACACCCGGACCTTGTCGTGTAGCTGACGCGTCGACCTAAGGAACAAAGCCCACTAAAAAGTCAATAGCGAGTTCCCGCTTCCCGTCGACTTTATCAGCAATCTGCAACGAGATCCGGAACTCCCCAGCCAAGGCTGGTGGCACGCTTGTAGAAGAGCGTGGCGTAAAAGAAAAAAGGATTTGCCGACTAATCCTAGTTTTATTTTTTTTAGATGTTAAAAAAATGTCAATCATTTTTGCTCCATGGCTGAGTGACTATGCTGATTTTTGTGAGAAAAAAGAATTGTGGGATGAAAAATGTAATTGGTAATTGTGTAATTGATTTTGTAATTGATTACAGAAAAAAGTAATTGAATTACTCCGAGCGTTACAGCTTGACAAATGTAATTGAAGCGTTACAAAATTACACTTAACTGTAATTGATTACAAGTAATCAATTACTTGTAACGCGTTACGTACAAGTCTGATAGGGCTACACCGGCATAATATTTAACAAGTGACAAATATAATAACTCATGAGTTTCAAGGCCCTGAAAATGTCACTGGATTGTCAAAGAGACGATGTTTGGCATTTTTTACCTCAATAAACAAGACTACAAAAGTATTTTTCTTTAAACTAAAAAATAGTCCAAATAACATACAAAAGCACAAAACATTACTGTGAGTTTTGTATGCTCCCCGTATTCGTGCCTGCGTGCAGAAGTGGGTAGAAAAATCACGGAGTAAAAAACTGATTTTCTCCCTGCTACACTCAATAATTTTTTTGTGACGCGAAATATTTTTTAAAAAATTTTGAAAAGCGGTTTTGTTCTTTCCACAAATGGGGCAATTACATATATTAAAAAAAAATCGAAAGACCCACCCCAACAAGCGTGTTCGATTTCAAATGAAACCATCCGTCTTGAGTCAACCCCTGCATTTTACGCAGACTGGCCAACAGCTAAATTATTACATCGGGTAAAAAGCGACAATTTGACACTAAGCGGTGAAACCCTTTATATACAGGCACACTCGGTTAAAAGCGCAAGCAGCTCCAAACACGAGTTATCTCCGCACCGGACGCGATCCAGGCAGCATCGAGAACGGTCGACTTCTCCGGGCTCCGCAAACCCCGGAGGAGAACGTGCCTCTCGTATAAACACCGCCCCGCTCCGTCGTCTCGAGAAGCGCTCGATGCGTTCCAAAGCGCTCACATCGAGTCTCGTTCCCAGCTACGAATTTGCCCAGTTCTCGGCCTCGGAACCCGCTCAACTTTTCCTTAGAGGTCTCAGGTCAGTGAACACCTTCTGCGCCCCTAGAGTTTCAAACCCGACCCCTCTGTCTTACTTCCCCATGGACACTGCCGACGATGGAGTCGGCTGGACACCTGCCACTCCAACGCCACGCCTGCCTTCACCCCGGACCATAATCGTGAAGCTCACGGATAACACCAACTGGGCATTTGTGAGCCCTATACCACCATCGGCCAAGCTGTCCAACAAGCAGCCCGCCTTACCAAGCAGGAAAGCCGCGACACCTTCATCAAGGTGCGATCCCGTCAAAACCTCCTGGCAGTGGACGCATATCGCGACTCTGCGGCCACCAAACTCCTTGCCTTTCAAACACTTCCTCTCCAAGACAAACTACATCCCGCCAATACGTACGAGGCCAACAGCCCGAATAACGCCCAAGGAGTTATCCACGGAGTATCCCTGGATCTCACTGACGAAGCCATCCACTCAGAGCTCTACGTTCCCTCCCGTAGGATTCTCCGATTCTGCCGCCTAGGCCAAACGGCCTCGCTCCTTGTCACCATCGAGGACCTACTCTCCCTCGACATGCCATCCCCTGTTCCACGGTCTTCAGGCTATACCTACCACGCTCTAACAGCCAGCAATGCAAGCACTGCTTCAGCCTCGAACATCGAAGCCTCATATGCCCAAACCGAGCCGAGTTCGTGTGCTGTGCCGCATGTGGGTCCCGTTTCTCTCCGGACCAAAACCACTCCGACATCCGTCATGAATGTGAGCCCCGATGCCTCAACTGTAACGGGGAACACGCAGCAAGAGACCCCTGCACGCCTCGAAGCAACACAGTCCCTACAAAAACGAACCAGAGCTGGGCACCGCCGGAACGTCCGTACTCAAGGCCCACCCCCTTTAGACACCGGAGTTGGCAACTGGCCCACCTTGCCCACCTCCAACCGGTTCGGCATTTTAGACTCATCACGCAGCCGCAGCCGCAGCAAAGGACCTGCCCAAGTCCAATATGCCCGTGGCTCCAGGACCCTCAAACGCAGCCGCTCCCGAAGACCGAACACCCAAACGCCCCCCCCCCCCCCCCCCCCCCTAATTCCCTCCCTAAAAATGTAGACACCGCGGCCCGTAATTTCAATTCCTGGGGAAACTCCTGCTGTATGTCTCAAATGAATTCACTTAATAAAGTATTTCCTCTGTCTTAAAGAAAAAAGATCAAGAATTTTAGGCGGGATTCGATCTTATGACTTCTCTGTTGCAAGTCAGATAGGCTCCTGACTAGGCCACGCGAGGGCGAGGCACGCGCCTGCATGGCAAATGAGAAGGCGATGCGAATGAGGCCTGTTAACGCTATCGCGTTCCACTTTTAAAGGCGAAGCTTAAGGGGTATTCACACGAGGGAGAAATCCCGGGGATTTCTCCCCCGCAGGCGCCCATCACGAGATGAAAACGCGAGGCTTTTGCACATCGCAAAGCCTGACGTTTTCGTCGTGGGATGCGCGTGCCGGGGAGAAATCCC